TGCCTGGTCTGCGATTTATTTGATTTTTTCCTTTTTTTACTTTCCGGATGTCAGGACTTCCAGTGGAGAAAGGTTGGAAATGACGGTATTCTCCAGATACCAGAATTAATAGATTACCATGCAATGCGATGCAATCGCGCCATACCTGGTATTCTGCTATACCAACTTCTAGTTTTTTTTTTTTCTCTTGCATCTCGTCTCTCTCTTCTCTTTCTTCCTTCGCTCTCTTCTTCTTCCCACTTTTCGCTCAAGTTGGGAATTGCGTGCAGTTCAGGGAATACTACCTCAGGTACCCGCATTTGCCCTAATCCGTCCAGCTCGGATCGCTTCACCTTCCAACACGCCGATCCCCAGAATTTGATCATTTTAATGTAAGTGTCTGACCGGTGCATTCGTCTAAATGGGAAAAAAAGATAAACAGAGAAAAGAACACAATTCGCTTACACGCGACCAGCATCCTATCAAACATCTTTTCGAGGAGCATTACATGCATCTGCAGATCTTCAACTCTCCTCTCGACTCCACCGAGTTCCTCCAAGCGCGGTTCATCCGCTCTTAAAAATACAAAATGGCTCGACCGAACGAATTGCAAAATCCTGTCAGCTGGGACCATGATCGGGACCACGACAACAGCCTCGAGCTGTCTGACAAGTCCGAGCAGGAGCCCGAGCTCAAGGACTTCGACATCGAGGGCCAGGGCCGTCGCGGCTCGCAGCATAATGTCACTGCCGTCGATGGATCGTCAACGACGGAAAGCATCGGTCGCCAGATTGAGATGGAGTCAGAAAACACAATCAAATATCGCACGTGTAGTTGGCAAAAGGTACGCTGCGATTAGACCGATGAGGAAATTGGGAGGATATTGACTGATTTGTTTACAGACCGCTGCGTTGCTTTTCTCTGAGTATATCTGTCTGGCTATTATGTCCTTCCCCTGGTCATACTCCATTCTGGGTCTGGTTCCCGGTTTGATCTTGACCGTGGTTATTGCCGGCATTGTCCTGTACACCTCGTTGATTACCTGGTATGATATCCTGCTCAATAGTTGCAAGCCCGTGATAAGCCTCGATGTTAATCTTTGGATAGGAGATTTTGTCTGCGACACCCAGAAGTCCGCGACGTGTGCGACATCGGACAGTATCTGTTTTGGGACTCTAAGATTGCGTGGTGGGCCACAGCAGTCATGTTCCTACTGAACAACACATTCATCCAGGGCCTGCACTGTGTGGTGGGTGCCGAGTACTTGAACACGATGTCCAACGGTGCAGTCTGCACGGTCGTCTTCTCGATGATCGTCGCCATTATTTCCTGGGTTTTCTCGCTGCCCCGCACATTCAGCACACTATCTAAAGTCGCAACCCTCTCTGCATTCTTCACCTTTATCTCTGTCGTCCTGGCTGCCGTGTTTTCTGCCGTGGAAGACCACCCCGCAGGATACTCCGCCGCACAGGGAGACCCAATTGTGCTTGTCGTCCCAGCAAAGGGCACCACATTTGTCAAAGGCATGAATGCCTTCTTAAACATCAGCTACACCTTCATCGGTCAAATCACCCTCCCTAGTTTCATCGCGGAGATGAAAGAGCCACGCGACTTCTGGAAGTCCGTAACAGCCGTGACAATCGCTGAGATCATCGTCTTCAGCGTTGTGGGTGCAGTCACTTACAACTACGTTGGCAACCAATACATGGTTGCGCCAGCCTTCGGCTCCATCGGCGACGACGTGTTCAAGAAGGTCTCCTTCTCGTTCATGATCCCGACTATCATTTTCCTGGGCGTTCTGTACGCCTCCGTCTCAGCACGTTTCATTTTCTTCCGCCTGTTTGAGGGCACCCGCCACAAGGGAAACAACACTGTTGTTGGCTGGGCTGCTTGGGGTGGAATTCTTGCGGCGCTTTGGGTTGCCGCCTTCATCATTGCCGAAGTCATTCCCTTCTTTTCTGACTTGTTGTCTATCATGAGCGCGCTCTTTGATTCTTTCTTCGGTTTCATTTTCTGGGGTACTGCTTATATCCGCATGCGCGCTGCGGACCACGGACCCCGTTTCTTTATGGTCCGTGGTATTCGGGGTTGGCTCGGATTCATTTTCAATGTCTTTTTAATTCTCGTTGGTTTCTTCTTTTTGGGACCTGGAACATACGTAAGTGGTGAACCATTGCCTGGCTTGCTTTGGCTTTGCTTTTCCTTGTTCTTTTGCTAACACATAGTTCTAGGCTGCTGTTATGTCCGTGGTCAACAGCTACGCAGATGGCACCGTCGGCGGTGTTTTCACCTGTGCCAGCAATGGACTGTAAACTCCCCGCGGGGCGGGGGGTTTATCACCATTTTTTCATCTTCATCTTCGCATTTGGATCTCTTGTGCACGTTGTTTCCGATCGACAGGGTCATGGACCCTGGTGAATTAATGACTGTGATGACCGAGAAAGCAAAACGGTGGATAATCGTGGATTTTACCACTTGAGCACCTTTGGGGTATTGGGAATTGTTTTTTGTCTTTTAGATGGATGCAGGTTCTGCGGCAGGTTTTCAATTGCTCTGTATACCTTCATGAAAAAGAGCGTAGATCGTGGGACTTGTTCCCCATATATGTATATATTACCCCTGCATTTTTTGCAGCACGTGTCACCTATAATTCAATGGGAGTGATCGTCTTTGAGGTCGCAAATCGGCTCTCCGGGTTTGATTTGCCATTGCCGCGGCAATACTCCGACGGCATTTTGGTCTACCAATCAATGTAGCTATGTACCTGACTTGATCAGGAACGAAATTGCTGCCCACGGAAAAAGTAAACAAAAGCTCGCTGATTATCACAATAGCTGATCTGATGTGTTAAATGTTGAAATAAATCAGTATACTTACTCTATAAGATCTCCAACAGCATCCTGTAGAACGTCCAAATGGGGCAATCAGCTACTCCCCGATCGCCTATCACCACGTGACTTTCCCGCGATGCTTCCCCGACGGCGGATTGGTGACTTCTCGCGGTTCATTCCTTTCTCTTTTTCAGTTTTCTTTTGTCAATTCGTTTCATCCAGCATTGATTCACTATGTCGAGCGTCCGTATTCTCACACGAGGTGTTGACCTCGCCGCCGCGAGGGCTGCTACCCTCAACCTTCCCCGCGCCTCTATCGGCTCCACTGTACTTCGGCGGGAGCTCTCCTCCGCGGCTATCGTGCGACCAACAGTCCTTCGGTCATTGAAATCCAATGCGCCAGTCGCAGCTGTAGCTTCGCGTGCTGCGAACCAGGCTGTGCGGTATGCATCTAGCTCTAGCGAGCCCCTCAGCAAGACACAGCTCTATGACTTGCACCTGGAGCACGGTGCCAAGATGGTGCCCTTCGCCGGGTTTGATATGCCTTTGCAATACGCCGATTTGAGCCATGTGGAAAGCCACATGTGGACTCGCGAGAAGGCGAGTCTCTTCGACGTAAGCCACATGTAAGTCAATCGTCTCCGAGCCAAAGCAAACCCGCAATGGCTAACCAAGTTCCCCATCTATAGGGTCCAGCACCAACTCAGCGGCCCCGGAGCCATTGACCTCCTGAAGAAAGTGACTCCTTCTTCAGTAGACAAGCTAGCCCCCAATACCTCTACCCTCTCCTGCCTCCTTGAAGAAGGCACTGGCGGCATGGTTGACGACTGCGTTATCACCCGCCGCGGCGAAGACAGCTTCTACTTCGTCACGAACGCCGGCCGCCGCACAGAGGACCTGGCCTTCCTAACCGCTGAGATCGAAGCCTACCGCTCCAAGCACGGAGCTGACAGCCTCAAGTGGGAGATCCTCGGAGACCGCGCGCTGGTCGCGCTGCAAGGACCTCTCGCCGCCTCCGTCCTCCAACCCCTCATCAACACCGCAAACACACCCGCCTCCGAAACCGACCTGAGCACTCTCTACTTTGGCAACTGCCGTGAGCTTTACCTCACCCTGCCCGATGGCAGCGCAACCGCCCACCCCCTCCTCATCTCCCGCACTGGCTACACCGGCGAAGACGGCTTCGAGATCTCCATCCCGACCTCCGGCGCCCCATCTCTCCCCCGACAAGTCACCGAGCTCCTCCTCGCCGACATCACCAAATCCCGTTTCGCTGGTCTGGCTGCCCGTGACTCCCTCCGCCTCGAGGCTGGCATGTGTCTCTATGGCCACGATATCTCCACCGCACAGACCCCGCCCGCCGCGGCCCTTGGATGGGTTGTCGGCCGTGATCGTCGCGATCCTGCCACTGCTACCTTTAACGGTGCTTCCGTTATCCTTTCCCAAATTGCCAGCCCGAAAACGATCCCACAGCGTCGCGTCGGACTTACCATTGAGAAGGGCCCCCCAGCTCGCGAGGGCGCTATCGTCGTGGATATCTCTGACCCCGCGAACCCCGTTGAAGTCGGCGTTGTTACTTCCGGTCTGCCGAGCCCATCGCTCGGTGGTGCCAACATTGCCATGGGATATGTCAAGCAAGGGCTCCACAAAAAGGGTACCGAGCTGGCTGTTAAGGTCCGCAACAAGGTCCGCAAGGCTACTGTTGTCGGTATGCCTTGGATTGCCAGCAAATTCCATCGCCCTGAGTAGAGGATAGATGGTCAGCTCTTCTTCTTTCATTGGTTTGTGCTTTTCGGTTTTTGTTCCTGTCTGAAATGGAGGGACTCGTGCGAAAGACTAGCGTTTTGATGATTTTATTTACTTGGCATTTGTATATATGTTCCCGATTTTATGACTGATATTCATCATATCAAAAGACTCTTTTCTTTCTTAATTTCATTATTTGTTACTTTGGCTAGTATGACATATTTGTTTCTTCCATGTTGACCATCATTGTCCAATACGGACATGTAAAGTAGCAGGCATAGGTATAAAACTACTCACCACGTACTCAAAAGTTCCAAGCCAGAAGTGCGAGTTCTTTCGAGCTAAACAGATACGTATTGGTATAAGGATAAGGATAAACAGCCTACCGAAAGCGAAGTATAAAAAAGCAGCTACCACCAGGACGACAAGGGGCAGAGTCTCAAATCACTCTACCAATCCCTCCGTATCCACATGACCATTCCCAGCCTTACGGACATGATGGTCAAGATGCAAAGCATCAATCTGCCAATTCTCAATAAGACTCTCCCAGCTAGGGTCACTCACAGCCCAATCACCACCACGAACCCCAACCTCCGGCGCCAAAGAAGGCGGCAGATCCTCCAATTTAGTCCCCCACTCACTCTCCTCCTTCCCAAGAACAAGAACCAACTCCCGTCCCTCTGTGAAGAAATCGTGACCAATCCAATTCCTAGTATAAGGCTTCCCATCCAGCGTCGCAGACTGAATAAACCCATTTCCACCGGCAGCAGCGCCAGTAGCATTAGCCGTATTAAACTGAGCCCAATTGACCGTCCTCAGCGTTGCCGTTTTCCCCGTCAACGGGGAGACAATACTAACGGACTCGAAGAATGGCACTGTGAGGAGGTACACACTCTGACCTGGGTTCGGGAATAATCCCATCATCGCCATGGCGACGAACGAGCCCATTGCGCCTGAGTCGTCGTTGCCCGGTAGTCCGGCCGGCGTTGGCGAGAAGTAGTCTGGGATATAGGTGCGCACGCGGGAGGTCGATTTTGCGGGTCGGCCCGCGTAGTGGTATTGGAACACCGTTAGGAAGGCGGGCTCATTGCCGATGTAGGTTATGTTTTGGTCGTGAAGGTAGTCAAGACGGGCGACGAAGTCGGTAGGGCCACCGAGGAGGGTTACTAGGGTGTGCATGTCATGGGGGACAAAGCTAGGGAGTGGTGTTAGAAGGGGTTGGGGTTGGGGATAGAGGTGGACCCGGCGGCAGGGAGGCTTACAATTGATACTCCCAGATGCTGGATTCGAAGGTTTCACCTGCGGTGTTTTGCAGTGAGCAGGCGTGTCCGCTCTGGTCGATGTTTGAGCATTCGAGGGGATCTTGGACGCCCCATGTTCCATTCAGATACTTTGGCTGGAAGAAGCCGGTGAAGCCAGTATCGTTGCCCTTCCAGAGAGAGGCCTGGTCCTTCTTGAATAAATTTTGCCAGTACCGCGATCTTTTCTCGTATCGTTCTGCATCCGCGGTCTTGTTTAGACCGCGAGCCATTTGCGCTATAGCGAAGTCGTTGTACGAGTACTCGAGTGTGCGTGAAATACTGCGGGTCATTGTGCCGAATCCCTCGTAGTCGAAGTCTTCCACGGGTATATAGTGTAGATCCTTCCAGCTTCGTAGACCCCCGCGGCCTTCGCTGGACCAGTCGTATGGCTCCTCCTCGGCATCCTTTTGCACAGCTGCGTACCCGGCATCCCAATCAATCCCATCCCTGAGCCCTTTCAGGTAGACATCTGCTAGGACATTGTCGGCGTTGGAACCGCCTTGTGTGTATCCTTTGCACAGTGACATGCGACAGTCCGGCAGCCAGCCTAGATGGCGCTGGGTATCAATGAGTGAGCGCACCATCTGAATTACCGAGGAAGGATCGAAGATGGTGAGGAATGGAATCTGAGAGCGGAAAGAATCCCAAAGACAATAGAACGAATCAAAGTAAGGCTCACTACTCTTCCAGAGCGGGTTCTCTCCTGTGTAGTTCTGAGGGTTGATCATGGTCCTGTAGATTCCACTGTAGAAATTGGATAGAACGGATGCATCGATGTTTGTTCGTGAGACGCGGATCGGACGCATCTTTTCGGTCCATTGTTCAACTGCTGTCTGGCGGGTTGCATTGAAGTCGAAGTGTGGTATCTCAGACTCTGCATGAGCGCAAGCTTGCTCTGCGCTCATGAAGCTGACGCCAACTCGAGCGAGAACCGTATTGTCTGGAGCTGACTTGAACCGGACAAATCCACCACCCTATGAAACTAAGGTCAACCCTGTCTGTATGACTAGAAGAAAGCTCTTCAACTTACCGGGAGCGGGTATCCATTGATACTGCGCGATATCTTCAGGTCATGAACACCAGCACTAGCACGAGAATTGACAAAGATACCACTGTCACGCTGGGCCGCAGGGCTTTTGAAATCCGCACAGAAATGCAAGATATACGACCCTGATCCAAAACTAGGAGCGAAGCGCGCATCACCGGTCATCCGGCCCGTTGTGCTATCCACCGAGATGGTCGCATTGTCTTGACGGGAGTTCGACAAATCGGTGAGATCCAGCAAGATCAATGGGCTGGTACTGCCATCTTTAGGGAACTGGAAGCGAAACAGGGACGTATGGTGCGCAGTTGTCATATCAACCCGGACGCCCGACGCCAATTCTATTGCGAAGTATCCTGGGTGCGCCTGGACCGAGTCGGGCTTATACTTCGTCTTCCGTTGGTTTTTCGGGTAGACACAGCCATTCACATCGTCCCCGGCGCATTTTGCATAGGGAAAGAGAGGGAAATTGCCTAACGAAGGACTGCCTCCAGTGCCGGAGTCGTGCATGCTGGAGAATCCGGTGACACTGCCGCCCTCGTAGGCGAAGCCTCCTTGATTGGATTCTGAGTCTGTGTCGGCGACGGCTTTCGCCATGCCATATGGAAGCGAGGCGCCTGGAAACACATTTCCTGGGGAGGATTGATTGTTGGTATGAAGTTGGACTCATGTATTGTTCGAACTTACCTCCGTTGGCACTGCCGATCAAGGGATTGATGTATTGTAGGACATCGTAGTCTTCCACTGGAGTGGTATCTGCAGCATTAACTAGGACGCAACTTAAAAATAACGACAGTAATAAATATGGCGACATGATCTAGGTTGAATAAAGATGATCGAGCGCGTGGGGGAGGTCTGGTATTTAGATACCCTCCTTCATCCCGCACCTGCCCGGTATGCGAGCCCCTGGCGATCCCTGTCTGTTGCATTCCTTTCTGCATATTTCCCATATGTGGGCCCAGAGACAGGTGTCAGGTGTCATGTTCGCGAGGGTAGTGCAAGGATACACTGGAAGCTGATTGGTGAGATTGGTGAGACTCGTGTGCCTGGAATGACGGGATTGAGAAAGTGCCCAAGACAAGATTGAACAATCTAATAACGTCTTGCCATTATAGGATTTAAGGACCCTTTATCAAAGTATCGTGTTTATTGTGAGAATACTTGAAGGATATTTCCTTACAAGCCCCAGGAATCGGCTAAAAGTAACCAAGTGCATGAGCACCAAAAAAGAGGAAATGAAAGGAGCTGGCTACTTCAATAATCCCACCTCTTTTTCCGTTCCACCCGACCTACTGACATTTAGACACTGGGCTGGGACTTGCTATTTTACCGGCTTTGGGTGAGTACTGATTGCTTCAAATCTATATTTGTGCTTCGCCTACGGAGTACTTATTCTTTTAATACAAGGACTTTGATTGGGATCCCAATTGGTGGGCACCTGCTACAAGTAGCCGGGGCCTCGAATGGTGTTCTTGTCATTTTTATGATATGCTTTGTGGTAGCGTGCAGTCCGGTAGTAAATGCGATCAATACAAGCCGACATCTCAACGAACCCCAACAAGTTCTAATATCAGCCGTTTCACATGTTCCAGTCTTTCATTTCCATCCATTCTCAAGCTTCTGGCGGTAATCTGTGATTATTTCAGGAGTAACATCGTTTCCTCCGCAAACAATGATTACAACTCGACTATCCGGTGTTAGGTCTGTCATGACTTCCCTCAGTCTATTCAACCCGACTTGAACACTTATCCCGCAAGCTAGCTCAACCTCCAATCGCAGCTCATCGCACAGGCGCACAACTCCCATCGCAGCATCAGCGTCGGTCCCCACGATACTAGTAACTTCGATACCAGGTGGAGGAGATTGCACGTTTTTCAACGTCTGCTGTGCCACGGATAGTGCCCCTAGGGTGATTGCTTGCGATGTAATTGCAGGCAGAGGATCCAAGTAGCCCTTACGCAGCGAGTGCGCCAGCGAATCAGCCCCAGCTGTTTCAACAGCGAGAATTCGAACTTTTTGGGAAAGAGTTGTCGGTTGATAGGCTGGCAAGTGCCTCTCAAGGCCTTCAATAATTCCGTTCAAAAGACCACCACCACCAACGCTGCAAACGATTGCATCTGCCGGGAATGAAGAAGAGGTATCGGTTCTGCCGGGCATGTTGTGCCTTGGAGGTAACTGCTCAATCATCTCATCGACCAGAGTCCCCGCACCTCGCCAGATCTCATGGTGATCGAACGGTGGGACATAAATGTTCCTGGCCGAGGAATCTGACTTGTTGTCTTCGTTTTCGATGAAATTTGCACGCAGATACGCGTCACATTCGAACCAACTAGCGCCGTGGCGGATAACATCCGAAGCCCCTGCAGCGCGTATCTTTTCGATCATCGCGGGCTTCGCACTAAGGGGCACAACAACGGTACAGGAACAACCGAGATCCCGAGCGGCTATCACTGCTGCGAGCCCTGCATTGCCTCCCGAGGAGCTGAAAAAATGTAGGGTTTTGCCATTGTTTGATGGATCAGAAAGGAATGTAAGGATCAAGTTTCCAATACCTCTAAATCGGGTTTGATTCTGTATTAGGTCTCGTTTAACACACTGCGATATGGAATCCCGAACTCACCGTGACTTGAACGACCCGGAAGGTTGGAGCGACTCCAATTTGAGGAAAATTCTACTATATTTCTTTTTTTCAGCGTCCGGAACGTTCGATTAGTAAAAATATGCCACCAATCTTACCATCCGGCAGCCTTTGAGAGTGTTGCCAACTCGATCAAAGGTGTTTTAATCCAGGGTTTTCTCAATTGTTTTGAATCGACATGGCCCATTTTGAAATGATTTGAAGCAAAAATTCAAGTATTCCCAAGATGATATTCTCAAGGAAATCCGAGATGTAAGCTTAGTGGGATAAGGCCTTTTTAAAACTTTGGAGCTATCGGGGCCCGTGCCGACGCCCTTCATTTGACATTCGGCTGTAGGTGGGGAGTGGAGTGGGCCGAGTTTATAAAAGTACAGTTGGGGAGCATCGGAATTGGTAATCTGGTATCTCAACTTTTATGTTTACTACTCGTTTTGATAAACATTTGGTATATTCCAAAGGTTAAGCCTTTTTTACATCTAGGAACAAGCGATTGTCGCGTCGCTTTCGCTTTGTAGAGTTAGCCGCCTGGATTTTTTTGAAGGCGCCCATAGTTAGTCGATTACGATCTATCTGTTCTTCAGGTATCCAGTTTAACTAGGAGCTTAGATAGAAGTCTCTTCAGCTCATAGTGAGCCTTCTAGAACTTTTTGATGATAGCATCACTACTGAAACTGCTACTTAGCCCAAGCGAATCATCAACTTCGTTGGTAGACAGACTTTTCAGCATAGGGTGAGGTCAAGTATCTCCACCCATATTTTGAATAGAGAGGGCATAATATAGGGATCTTGAGAGCTTAATTAGACAGAAGGTCGAGATATGTAGAGACAAGAAGGTGAAAAGGAAAACATAGACTTAGAAGGAAGAAACTAAAAGCTGGATCTCTTCTGGCTTGCTATGGCCCCGGTTATAGCTAATGACAACTAGGAGAAATGTCACCTCCATGCTATCTGGGCAGAGATATCTTCGCCTACACCTCTTGACATTTCTTGACATCTTCCTATCTTCTGTCTCTTCCCAATCACTTACATCTATCTAACATTTCCTAAACACTTCATGGCGTCCAAAAGAAAGCAAAATGTCTTCATCTTGGAGGTCAATTCACTGGACCTCTCGGAGGTTGAAATTGGCTTCGGTCTCAAGAAAGTCAATGATATCAACTGGGCGCAGTTTCGGACTCCGTTTGAGATCGCAGATTGCTGTCGTAAGTCTATCTTGAAGGCTTCATCTCTGAAATGGTCTCTAATCCTGTCTAGAGCACACTTTGAATATGCTCGATGATTTTCGAATCCAGATGCCACCTCGTCTAGGCATTCTTCTCCTTGATGTCCATACCAAACCACCCAACCCAAATTCTCCTGGCTCACCCCCCATCCCTATATCGAGCAAATTTGAATTTTCATTCCAGCCATTTTCCCGCCATGGAACTAGGGACACATCTCTGAGCGGCGTCCCCAGCTATTTGCTATGGTATGGTCCAGATGTCGGAGAAGATCTGGCCGTCAATTCAATCATTGTGGAAAAAAAAGAGGGTCAATCTGCCGCTGGCGTGCCGCAGTGTCTTGCCTATATGGGTATGGTTCATTAACAACGTCGGTATGAGAATAAAGTCAATCATACCATTTTCGGCCTCTCTACGGACAATGACCAGTTCCATTTCCTTCTGATCTCGAGCGAAGGCAAGGTGAGGGAACCCTCAGTGCTTGTTGATATTCCGAGACGAAGACACGTGCTAATCTTTTTATTAGTGGTCTCAGCTAGACCTGAACTATTCCAGCCATCGCCAGGAGATTGTTGAGACTCTTGCATACTTTCACACGCAGGCCTCTGTTTTGTCTACCTTTTGCGGCAGTGGTACATCCGAGAATGGCTCCCAATCTCGAGTGGCATCGGATATTCAAAAATCTCTTCATGTCCAACGCACTGGCACGTCCGTTGAAGATTGGTCTATTTTTCAAGTGACGAATGAAATTGAAGATGCGCAAGGGGAGGATGATGATGACGAGATTTGATCATGTTTCTCGCTTCACGGGACAGCGGTGAATTGATGTCGATAGGCTAGGTTAGGATCCCATAGGTCAATTGATATCATGCAGTTCATGAAACTTTACTGTAGTGCGAGGGGATGTATGCCTGTATGCCTGTCTGTTGTCCTTGACTCCATATTAAGGAAGAAAAGTGAGAATATGAGGTTAATAATACACCTCTCCACCCCGAGTATTATCATTCGTTGCAAATGCTTAGCCACCACTTTTATTCAATCGCCGACAGCTGTTCCTCCTCGTTGTAAGATCCCCCGAGTCCCCGCCGGCCCCTCCCCCACCGGAAGTTATACAAGTCAGAATTCCCAACATGAACAGAAACCACAACGTGCAAAGATGATTTCGGCGGAAGAGCAAAAGGTATCTAATGTGTATATCAAGCTATTTAAAACAAATTACTGACATACTACGGCTGAAAAGACGATCAACGAGCTCCAGGCAAATTGGATCTGGGTTCCAAACTGGACTGACTCTTCAAACACGAACACAGCTGGCAAGATAGTTCACTTCACAAAGTTTGTTAATTTGTCATCGCGACCGACAAAATCAGTACTATATTTCTCAGCCGACACGCGTTACAAGCTCTATGTGAATGGGAAGCATATTGCCGTCGGGCCGACTCGCAGCAGCCCTTTGATCTGGTACTATGATACGCTAGACATTTCACCCTACCTGAAAGAGGGACGCAATAAGCTTCGATTTGTGGTTGTCCGTTACTTTGCTGCTTCTAGGAGCGCAATGCCCTTTGTACGGACGGCTCTTCCAGGCTTAACAGTTATTGGAAATATTGAGACGGGTCAGGAGGTTGTCGATCTTGCTTCTTCCAAGAATTGGATGGCATCTGTGGATGAAAGCATTCAGTTTCCGATGGGGCTGGTTGACGATGTGTTTCTTCATGTAAGTTTGACTCGGGATCAAAAGCCTCGTCCCAAATTTTACTCATATTATTTCACAGATCAGCGAGCGCATTACTCCCACAAACCCCAGTCTTGCTGTGACACCGTTTGCCTATAAGATGAAGACCCTCAATGGCGATATTCCGTCCTGGAATTTGCGTCCACGCTCTATCCCCATGCCCGAGTCAACGCCAGCCGTTGTAAACATCATCAGAGCATGTGACAGTGTGGTAGAGGACAGTAATTGGATAGCCTTCTTTACTAAAGATCGTTCTCTTATCCTTCCTGCGAGCTCAGCTCATACCCTTGAAGTGCAAGCAGATTTCCATTCGACCGCATTCCTTCGATGGGCCTTCAAGGCAACCAAAAGCACTTCCCGTATCAAACTCCAAGTGACATACTCGGAAGGCTATGAGCTCGAACCTCGATCGTACCCTTTCTTCCGCTCCAAAGCCGACCGATTGAATGCAAGTGTCGGTCACATTATCGGACCATACGATGAGGTAACACTTGATCTTCCGAGAGGTGAAACTGTCGTCTACGAGCCATTCTGGTTCCGAACCTTCCGTCTCCTGAGGCTCGAAATCACAACAGGTCCCGAGCCAATCGAGCTAGTATCATTCGATGCTACTCAAGTAAACTACCCCATGGCCGTCAAAGCCAGCTGGAAGGAGCCCGGCGATACCCACAGCGAGAAAATCTGGGACGTCTCAATTCGGACAATGCGAAACTGCATGTTCGACGGCTACTCCGACTGCCCGTTCTACGAGCAATTACAGTAAGCCTTATAAAATCCCCAAATTCACATTCCGGCTAACAATCCAGATACTCCGGCGACAGCCGCTCCGTCGGTCTATTCCACTACCTTCTCTCGGGTGACGACCGACTAATGCGCCAAGCAATAACAAACTTTGCCGCTTCAGTCACACCCGAAGGCCTCACACAGTCCCGCTTCCCCTCACACGTACCGCAAGTCATAGCTGGGTTCTCCTTGTATTGGATCCTGCAGGTCTGTGACCACCACTTATACTTTGGCGATACCCGCTTCGCGCGAAGCTTCATCCCGCGCATCGACGGCATCCTCGACTTCTTCGATGCCCACGTTGATGACCTGGGTCTGGTCAGCGGGCTACCTCAAGTCGTCTGGCAATACGTTGACTGGGTAACGAGCTGGGGTGCCACCGACGAGCATCCTGATAAAGGAGTCCCGACCTCGGGAAGAAAATCTAACAGACATACATATTTCAGTATGTTATATGCATGGGTTCTACGGAAGGTTGCTGGTCTGGTGCGCGATGTTGGTCGCCCGGGACATGCTGCTGAGTATGAAGCGAGGGCCGAATCGCTCATAGGGGCTATCCAAGCCCATTGCTATGATGGAACGTTCTTTACCGACTCAACAGCTGATGTTGCCGACGAGCTGTCGTATTCTCAGCACTGCCAGGTTTTCGCTGTTATCTGTGGAGCGGCTAAAACCAAAGACTCTGTGCGGATCTTGACTGAGTCGTTTACAAATGAGCGTTTCTCAAAGTGTTCGTATATGATGCGGTTCTATGCTTTCCGGGCACTTGCGTTGGCTGGCGAGGATTTGTACGACTCGTTTTGGGAGAGGATGTGGGCTCCGTGGCGGGGGATGTTGGCGAATAACCTTTCGACCTGGGAGGAGGATGATGTCAGACAGAGATCTGATTGTCATGCCTGGGGGAGTGTGCCAATTTATGAGTATTGTACTGAGCTAGCGGGTGTTCAGCCGGTGGCTGCAGGTTCATCCAAGATATCTTTCAGGCCTAGGCTTAGGCTGACTGAGGCATTGGAAGCGAAGGTGGCACTGGGTAAGCATAATCTCGCTACGGTCTCGTGGAAGGTCTCTGGGAATGAGAAGATCGTGGAGCTTAGGCTCGAGAAGGCGGTTGGGGTTGTGAGTCGATTGCCAGGAGGCAAAGAGGAAGAACATGGGGTTGTGGATCATCTCAGCTTTGCTTTTAAGGCCTAAGTCATTTACATCAAGTTGAAAAAAAAAGTTGGAGAAATACGATAATATAATTCAATTTCATATAGCCAATCACAATGTACCATTCCATCTTCGTCTGATATTTTAACTCTTAGGCTGTGACTACCATCTCATGGTCCTCCCGTTGCTCATTCGAGCGCAGCTGCACTTCAGTGACATATCCCTTGAACTTCCGAAGATTGACCCTCTTCTCGAACCTTGCGAATACAACGTGTCAGCCAAGTCTCTTCAAATGATATCGGATACAATATTGACATACATCTCATCAATTTCGGCCGGTGTCCGGCGTGTAACTTCTGGAAGAATGAACCAAGCAATGATTACTGCAAGTGTACCTGTACCCGCAAAGCTGTAAAAGGTTAGCCTGTTAGTATTTTGAAGTGCGAAAGTGGACATGGACAAGATGACAGAAGACTAACAAGAAACCAGTTTTGACACCCCAGTGTGAGACAGGCGCATTATTGATCATCAAAGGCGTGCAGAAACTAAACATGATAGCAACCAAGTTTGAGGATGCAAGAGCCCAACCGGCTGTCTTTGCACGCAAGCGTTGCTGAGGGATCTCAGCGGCGTAAGCATAGCCAATAGCTGATGCACCAGTGGTGGACAAGGTTGCCAAACAAGCGAAGAAGATCTAGGTCATACAGTCAGTAATTTGCCAAAGGTGTGCTGAGTTCTTAAGGAATTACCAGCAGTGAACTCGTTGATGGCTTGGTATAATCGAAGCAGCCAATAATTCCGAGACACAAGACTGACGCAGATGTAACTGCATAGGGATAGATTGTCAAAGGACGACGACCAAGCTTGTCCGTGGTGACGGCAGTCACCAGCATAGATATCAACTGGACACAAGATAAAATGACTGTCACCATGAATGGATCTTTGCTGCCAGCATATTGAACTAGAGCGATATTAGCAGCGTGAAAGAATGGTATGAAACGTATAGTACTCACAGAAATATGTAGCATAGGTGTTAAACACAGACAAGCCGACAAGTTGCTGGGCAATCTTTGGCCAAGCAGCAATAAAGAAACGAAGGCGATTGCGGCCCTGGAAAACAGCCCATGGTCCCTCTTCGGAATTACGCTCTGCGACGATACGCTCCTCCGCAATTGTGGCAGTCATGACTTCCTGAAGGATGTTAGAACTTCATTCAAATACGAACAACAGGGAGAATAACCCACAATCTGCTCGTCAACACTATATCCCTCAACATTGCCATTGCACCTAGTTAAAATTTTGGCTGCCTTGTCGATCTTTCCTTTGCTCACCAGCCACCAGGGTGATTCTGGAATGAAGGTAAAGATAACGATGATGATGCCAACCATAGCCCACTGATTGTGCGTGAAAATCTTTAGTGACTATCTTGACCATGAAACATAAATGAGAGACAACCAACCTGTGTATAGATAGGAACTCGGAATTCATATGGATCCTTTGCGCTGAGTTCCTGGAGCGCCACTGAGGCGAAGATCTGACCAACCACAAACCAACTAAAGAGGAATCAGCAAACAGTACCCCAGATTTGCCATACTACTAACTCACAAGCTGTACGCGTTGATATAGAAACCTCGCAGCTGGGTCGGGGCAATCTCGGACAAGTAGAGAGGCAAGGTGGATTGCAGCATACCCACGCCCATTCCAGAGAACAGTTTCGCTGCGAGCCAGTGATCCCATCTTGTTGCAAAAGACTCAATGAACACGCTGATAACAATATCGAGCCAGATTATATAGAATGCGACTTTCCGACCGAATTTTTCCGTGGCATATTGGAGGAGCTGGAGAGTAGTCAGTCACTCGCTAGATCTGACCTGGAGGTCCGAAAGACATACAATTTGACCGACAGTTTGACCGGCGGATTGGACGCCGCCCCATGCGGAGATGTATTTGCCTGCGATGATCGATGTGCCGGGGGAAGCCATCTGTCGAATGAAACCTTTGTTGGAGACAATACCGCCATTCAGATTAATTTCTGTGGTCGGATTAGTATGGTTCAAATCTAACAGGTCAAAGCAGTAGCTTACGGTAGCCATCCAACGATGCGCTAAACGCCGCAGTCATAGCGATCAGTGACACCGTCTTGAACCGTCGCACACACTGCCAGACGCCGAGGTCGTCCTCGCGAGATCGCATGATGGGCCCCATGCTCTTGGTAGGCAAGACATTCTCAATATTTTCAACGCCGGCCTTGGAAATATCCATAGTGAACACAAGTAGATAGAGTATATGTCCAAGGAAAGAAAATTCGCCAAGTTCGTATCAAGCAAAGATGAGTAGTGGGACGGTAATCTTTATATTTCCAGTCCTTGGACTGAGCTTAGAGTGCTAACTAGTATTGGTTTGCTAACTCTATTCACGGAACTCAGCTACATAGACTAGGTGTCAGACTCAACTCACAAATCGGATTCTACAAGGCTAAACTCGCGTGGTTCATTTGCCGACTCGCTATTTCAAAAGGTTCTCATGGGTTGTTTTCAGCAAAAGTGGCTAGTTGGCTTGTGAAAAAGCATACTAGTGAGCGCCCAAATGAGCGGCAAATGATTCGCTCTGGATTATACCGAAGCTATTAGCTAGTGGTTGACTATCATTTATGGAGAGACCAACAAGAAGAGACAAGTTTTGAAGCTCATTATGGTCTTGGAGTTGAGGCATGCATCTCTAGATGTACGACGGTGTTGTCTCTGGTTATTGCAACCCTCAAGGAATTACTCGGAAACAATATGTTTTGTCGAACCCCCTTTAGTCTTACTTTACTACTCGCCAAGTACACGATCAATATCCTCAAGGAAACTTGCTATTGAATTGAATCCAACCAAGGCCCTCTACCCCGCAAACGCCCACTAGCCCTAACGAGAAAATCCCCGGTGGCGTGGCGCCTATAGGAGGAAATTTAACCTCCACATTCCATCCATCTCCAATCTTCGGACTTTTCGGGCAAACACTGCCCCGAGCTCCTTTCTAGGAAACTATGACCGAGTAATTACAGGTAAACCAGAAGAGCTTCGGAAGCTGTAACAGTGAAGCTTGCTTTCCCGCCAGAGACAGTGACTGTTTCCACGCTTTCTGTCCCCTGAATAGTGCAAGTGCCATTCACAAACGTTTGGCCTGCAACGGTCGGGTTTTGGCCCTGATCGACCCGAGAGGTGGCGTAAGGGGCAGTCAGCCGTTTAGCAGTGACGCTAGGGGACGAAAGCCCAGACAGGGTGTATGTCTGCGACGAGCGGGTTCCGCTGGTAGAGATATAGTAGTCGGAATTGTAGAGAAGGACACGCACAGGAATCCCAGCCTTGTAGATGGCGTAGGCTGCATATGCTGTATCTTGGCTATCCAGAGGCGCAATGTGGTCGGCGTTGGCGAGCGCCATGGTGGCGAAATAAGCACCGTAGTAAGGGGAGCCTATATTGTAGCGGCCCCACCAGCAGTATTGGCCTTGAAAGTTAGATTGGGTAGGCAGGAATTTCCGAATAACTTACAGTTTCCAATGGTACCCTGGTGGAAGTAAAGGGCATTTGTGCCCATAAGAACAGTCTGCATCACATAGTCCAAAATCCAAAGAGCAGCACCAAAGGTCGGGCTGATACCACCACCTCCTTGGGTTGCTGGATATGTCTTAGCATTTCCATCAATTGACACCGAACGCTAACTTACCGGAGTTGGTCTCGCCGAATATATGTGGCTTGCCTTTGCCAGCAGCAGCAGAGATCTCAGCAGCGTAAGGCTTGATCTGAGTGGTAATATCGCTGTGGCCCATGAGAGTAGCCAGATTGTAGGAGCCAGATGATTGAGGGTAGTTGTGAGAGCAATAATCCTTCACATAGTCATCCGCATCACCTTCTTTCTCGGTAAGGCTGACCAGGCTCATGGGTGAAGTGCCAAAGTAGACACCTGCTGATATAATATCAGTTGCAGAAAGATTTCCGCACACCGCATCTTGCCAACTGACTTGGGATGCTTCATCTGCTGCAGCTGTCCAGGATGCACCGTTGGCAATAGGATCGCTGTTAACGAAAACTAAACGCTCAATTAGTGTTTCCATAGCTAAGGGTAAGTGATCAAAGACCAACAGTTTGGCTCATTTCCCAGTTCAATGGAGTATAGGTTATCCATTTTGCTCTGGACGAGAAGCGCGGCCGAGATTGTGTTGGAGATATCATCCAAACGGCGGTTCAATCCAATAATGACTTGTCCAGCATAGCTTGCAGCCAAGGAGATAAAGGATGGGCCGTAAGTCAAAGTCTCTGGCGCAGCACCTGCGCTGGCCACTGTATAAGTGACAGCCTCGGTTGACAAGCTATCATACGTCGCACGGTCCCTGCGTACTGTTAGCCACACTTATTGGCCCATAACAAAGTCATACACACTGAGTAGTGCCTCCGATTCTCATAGGGGGCCACGTTCCTGTCAGATCCTTCAAGTTCTGCAGACATGTCATCGTTGATTTGACATCTTGGATGTACGCGGGGAATGTAAAAAACTCCAGACTTTACAATAATTAATTATACCCATCAAGAGCTTTGATTGAAACTCACGATACACCCACTGGAGCTGCAGAGAGCTGCCCACTTGAGTTTGAAGGCGGGGATGTCGGGACATTGAAGGTCAAGCTCAAAGCCGAAGCTGCGAGCCCCATAAGCAAGGCTGAAATAGGGAGAAAAGCCATGAGGTTGAATGTCTCCGATTGAACCTTGTTTTTATCAAAAGGCCACTCTGACAACGAACTGATTATCATGTTAGGTCGAATTTATATACCCTTTCACCCCCACTCTCGGGGAAGCATGCCCGAGCAACCCCGATTTGTTAGGGGTTCTAACAGGAATTCCATGAGAAAAGTACGTTATTTTCATAATAATTGATCCATGTTTTAAACTTCCGGATCTGACAATTTTCCATCCAGTGACTTACGGTCATTAACGTTGAAAACACCGCACTTTTCTGGGCTTTTGTTTTTTTCCAGGATCATCTATATCATGTATTTTCTCTTTATCCTGTTCAGATAAAACCCTAAAGTTTGTCTAATATGGAAATGCGAAATAACCTATACAACCACATCTAACTCCAATGCGACCTGATCTAATGCTTTCCCACTTGGCACAATAGGAAGCATTTGCGTTTCACTCATCAAAACATCAAGTAGTGCTGGTCTCCGGGACTCGAGTAGCCACTGGATACAACTCGACAAATCCTTTGCACTCCCGCATCGCCGACTCTCACATCCCATACTCTGAGCCAACTGAACAAAGTCTGGATTGGCCTGACGGTTGAAACAAACTCGACCTCCATAATTGCTTTGCTGTAGCTGTGCGATCATTCCCTGGACGTCGTTGTTAAATATAAGGACTTTGATTGGGAGATCGTACTGCGACGCAGTGAGTAGCTCCTCCATGGTCATACAGAACGAGGCATCGCCGTCTATGTCAATCACTATTTGGTCGGGTCGGGCTATTTGGGCTCCAATTGCAGCCGGCAGCCCGAATCCCATGGTACCTAAAGAGCCGGATGTGACAAATGACCGAGGATATCTGAAGCGATAGCGCTGTGCAGCCCACATTTGATGCTGTCCCACACCTGTCGTCACGGTAACGCGATGCTTCAATGATTCTGTTTGGCGGTCTAACTCTGCCATAGTCTGTTGAGGCGTGGCATGACTTTCCATGCTTTTGAGGGGCACTTGAAAGACATGTTTCTTCTTCCACTGTTGGATCTGATCTAGCCAGACTTCTCGATCATCTCGCTTGTTCAAGCGAGACAGCAAGCTTGGTAGTGCATCACACAAATCTCCAATGACGAGTTGGGTTGGTTTGATGAGTTTTCCCACTATCTCAGGATTCAAATCAAACTGGAAAATGCCTCCTCGCCCAGCTTGAGCTGCCTCTCTGGCTTTGGGGGCATATTCTAGTGGATTACCGACGGCCCTCTCATCGAGACGGGCACCAAACACAAGAACCAAATCGGCATTTTGGATGGAATAGTTTGCATACGGCGCTCCATAGGTGCCAACCATATGCAAGGCCAGTTCGTGAGTCTCGTCAAAACATCCCAATCCAAGTAGTGTGGTCGCGACTGGAATTTTGCTTTTTTCTGCAATCTGGGAAAGTAGGGCTGGGCCAGTTTTATTAGAGAGGACTCCATGGCCAGCGCATATGATAGGACGCTCAGAATCATTGACCAGTTTCGCAATGTGGTCGATACTGTCTTGGACATTCGAGGTGCAACTAATATCCCGAAGTGCCACTTCCTCTTGAACAGGCTTCTCTTGCTTCACCCTTTGTGGCGATATGCTTAGAGGATCTTGAGATGTTACTGGCTCAAAGCTCCCTGCTCCGATATCCTTTGGAATAGAAATTAGAACAGGCCCGGGGCGCGTTGAAGTCGCATGGTAGAACGCATCATGTACAGCATTCGGTAGGTCACTAATCTTTTTCACAGCAGTACACCACTTTGTGCACGACCGGGCAATTGCCATAATGTCAATCTCCTGGAAGGCACCAGTCCCCTGGGCAGTAGTCGCCACCTGACCACAAATCACAACCATCGGTGTGCCGTCCAGAAGGGCATTTAGCATAGGTGTAACGAGGTTCGAGCTCCCTGGACCTGAGGTTACCAACACAATGCCTGGCTTCGTACTAGCGCATGCATAGCCTTCTGCCATATGACCGGCACCCTGTTCATGGTGAGAGAGAATGAAACGAAACAAATCATTCCTGTAGAGGGCATCAAAGAGAGGAAGGGCTGCGCCGCCAGGATAACCAACTGGTATTTAATCAGAAGGGGCTTGAGACACATTGAGGAAGAGTTTACGTACACACATGACTGACGTTGTGACTAGCGAGCAGCTTACAGAGAAGATCCCCACCTGTTAGACCTTCCGAGTTGTGACTTGGCATTTTGAAAGCTGGTGTGTATTTGCTCAGTGTCGAAGATGAAAAAAGCATGGGATTGTCTTGTCTTGCATCTTCCAATAGATGTGTGCGTTGGTGTGGATTTGTACGGGCAATGGAGGGTATATATGTCAAAATCAGAATCCCTAGCACGCAATGAAGTAACCTAGCCTATATTATGCAGCCATCGCGTAGGAAAAATCTATAGAAGGGTATCATACTAATGCATAACAGTTCAATTCAGTAACTCCGGTCAGCAGAGCCACATCACTATAAAACTCGGTTTCCGGCTTGTATGATGCTGATGACGTACTGTGTCACCATCCACCATTGATATCCTAAAGGATCGGCACATTTCAAGCATTCAGATCCAGGTAGGACAGTCAGGACAATCAGGAAAATCACGACGATCAGGACAATCAGGACAATCAGGACAATCTTTCACTTTTGGTTTTCGTTATCTTCCTCCTGGCCGCCATGTGGCGATGACGTTTTGTGTGACCACAAGGACACCATTCTTAATGCAGAGAACACCTATTGTGGCTAGTTTCGGAGATTAGTTCGTTTATCTTTAAATTTCTATATGCATGTAGCGGTTAATGTAAAAAGAAAAATGTGTGGCAATTTATCATAGACGGTAAGAATTTTCGTGCCCTAAGTACATAATCTGGAGCGTATGTGATTTATAACATATATTTCGCTCTTTCACCACTCACGGCCCTGAAAATTTATTGGATTCCCAACTAGTTATACTATCATATTCTACATTCCAAGTCCGCTGGCAACAGACACAATGGCCGCGAACAACCTTTACCAGTATTCTATCCTTAGTGCTCTAATGGAGGGAATATGCCAAACAGGAATTGCCGTTAAAGACACTCTCACACATGGCGACCACGGCCTCGGTACCGTGTCGAACCTTAATGGGGAGATAGTCATCATTGACGGCGAAGTTTACTACTTTCCTTCGTGCGGGCAAATCCGAAAAGTTGAAATTTCAGACACCCTACCTTTCATCATGGTCACTCGATTCAAACCGACCATCGAGAAGCTCTTGTCTTCCCTCGACATGGACTCGCTTCCGGGGGCGCTAGAGCCTCTGCTTCCTTCCCGGCAGAATTGCTTTTTGTCAATTCGTGTCGACGGGCTGTTCAACTATATCAAGTTCCGTATCATAGCGGGACAGTCTAAGCTTCGGGAATCTCTACTTGAGCTAGTCAAGCGGCAGCAAATCGTGAGCTCCAGCAATGTTGAGGGTACTCTTTTTGGATTCTGGTCTCCGGCTTTTAGTGGAGGTTTTAGTGTTGCGGGCTTCCACTTGCATTTTTTGTCGAAAGACAAAACCCAAGGCGGTCATGTCATTGGGTTTGACACAAGAGAAGTCAGACTACAAGCGGCCGCTATTGAAGAATATACGGTTAAGCTGCCTCAGAACGAAGAGTTTAATGAAAAGGTCATTCAAGGTGCAAGGGATGCGGAGCTTCATGTGGCGGAAGGGGGTTAAACTGCTGGATTTCTGACTGGCTAGTCAATTACAGTCGGGTATTTCATTAGAGGGCAGCGCACTTTCTTTTTACGGTATTGGCAGTATGAGCTTTCGAATTAACATGCGTCACTGGTGGAAAGTTGTCCAAATTAGAAGTGTACCTCGTGGTTTGATTTATATGCTTATCTTTGAAAAACTTCTTGGAGCATTTGATGTCTGAAAGGAGTGACTAAATATAAATTAAGGTTACACGAGATCTTTTATTCATATAGTTGTACCACACTAATTAACCACCCTCTGCTGTGAACCACTGAGCGAGCTGGGCCCTCATCGATAGGAGCCGCTCGAGACTGCTCGCGGTTTCTACAAGTTGGTCACCTATAGTTAACTAGGTAGGGTTGCATTCAGAGTGTTACACAACATCCGAGGTGCGTGCTCAGAGTAGCGATTGGAATAATACAGTCATGTTTAAAAAGTATTGGTTTGTGTAACCATAGCCCAATTAATTTAAGTTTGACCGAGTGCCTATATATATACCAAGTCCCACCCACCCTTCAAAATCATAGCCAACCATATCCCAATCTAAAATGCCTATCCACCCACCATCTGCCACCTCAACCTTCGAAAAGGACCTCCAAAACCGCCACTTGATATATGACTACGCAGCCCAAGATGCGTCAGGCAAACCCGAAAAATGGCGATACGAAATGTGGTTCGAATCCTCAAGCCGAATCAACTACGCCATCCATGGCGGACCAATGGCGGGACGCATAAATTTTCAAACGGCAGATTACCAATGCATCCGCGCAGGGGAGATATGGCAATGTAACTGGCTGGAGGAGACGGGGACCATTTGTTCGCTTGTGTATGATATTCCGCGGAAGAAGATCACTACCATGCTTGGATTCAGCAAGGGGCATTGGGAGAATGCGGAGGATGCGCATGGTGATAAGCGAAATTTGCGGGATTTGGAGAGGTGGAGGGGCCTTGCGAAGATTGGGATTCAGACTGACAGGTTACTGTTGAATGAGCAGGCGGATATTTTGGAGGATTTTTGGGGAAAGGGCGATTTAGTCCCGTGTGATATGAGCTTGCCAACTCTTTAGAAGTGTTCAGAGTTGAATCAATCGTGATGAACTTGACCCAGACTATCGAACGGGCTGTTTCGTGTGCGGGATGCCAAGTACCTAAGATATATGATCAAATCTGGCGTGCACACAAGTGATGGGTTGGTCAGTCTCAACTCTTTGTGGGTGCACTTTTTCAGAAAAAGTTTACTTCGCTCGCGGTGTCCAGATTTGAATGCTAAGACATCGAATATCGTGATGATATGCACATTAGTGAGGGCTGGGAGTGCCGGCGGGGTATTTTTTTGACTTCCCAAGGAGCAACAAGAAAAGTCCAGGACGATCTTACAGACTACGGTATGCCACTCGAATTAATCGTGAGAATTCTAGGAAAATCCACCAGAAGGACCTCAAGACAGACAATATCGACTATAACATCATCTAGGCTAACGGGCGGGGCACTGTTATAGGACAGGAGACGACTAATAATGCCAATGGTATCAAGCTAGGCACGATGGTAACATTCTAATTGTGTTTTGTGTGCAATCTTTAAGATTTATAGAAAAGCTTATATATTACTCCTTATTAACTAATTTCTTAAGCTAGTATTAAGTAGTATAAGGATAGAGTAAAGTAGGTTTAGCTAAAGCCTTTTATACTATTTAAATTAAGGAAGTAAATTACTTCCTCTTAAATATCTAGAAAAGGAGGTTTAAACTAATAAGATATTTAACCTATTCTCTTTCTTATTTATTATTTTAGAATTTTAAGTTATAAGATAAGTCTAGTACCTAATATATAATATATTAGTTATCTTAAAGGGTAGAATTTCCATTTGCTCAAAGGGGGCCGAAAGTGGCTACCTTCTAGCTGACCCTTTTCTGCCGTGGTGTTATACGTGATTTGCTGATAAGTAGATTGGTTGGCTCTCGGTGGCCTATCTGTATGCCTTGTGGATCACCGCTGGTTAGTGACGGGTAGGTCCGTAATATCTGTTTCCAGATACCGTATACCCGATCCCTTTTCCCTAGGTAAGAGCTCGGGCAGAGTATTATTCTTCGGCATTACGGGATTGGATAAGTAGCAGGCGCTTTCCGGGTAGGGGTTTAGATCTAAGAGAAGGCACCGGAAATAAGAAACTTAGGAAAACCAGTGAGTCCTAGGGATTCAGGGGAACTACTTAGCTTATATTTGTTTTCCTGTCACATCCTTACTCGCAGTAGATATGATCATCCATAACAAACAAAGAACCCAGTCTTAGAGACCCACCTCCTGAGCACACTCCGCAATCCGATTGGCAGATCAGCCCATCAGACGGAAGCATCGCCTCTCATTTGCTGCATTATGACAACGAACCTATACTGAAGCGTTCGCTTAAGCAGCTGGAAATGAGACGTTTTCTCTCATAGTGTCTGAAATTTCAAATGAGGAGAAAATCAATTTTCCCAGAGCCCATTGACTGAAAGCAGTCTGGATTAAGATAGCTCACAAGTGCTCTGCATGTCAAACTGCATTGATTATCGACTTTCACCGCGCTACTTTGCATACTCGGACACTTAAGCGATCAAGACCCGAGAAAAGGAAGTTGTCGAGACCAGAGTCGGGAGGTGTAAAGCGTTTGCGCTTGAAAGAGGAAGACTGATTATGTGAAGAACTATACATAACCTAAGAAGCTTAGTAGGGATATGAGAGCCTGTACTTGTATCAAAATGACTAGTTAACTTGTGTAGTATGGATTCGGCCTTGACAAGTGCTACCTATTTAGGTTAGAGGATTACCTAGATAGGCCTAATTCATACTATAATCATTTGGGCCTAGTACAACCTTGGAATATCGGGTAAAGGCTGACTAATGCCAACATCGCACCTGGGCAAGTACTTCACAGGTTTCTCCAACCACTGACACTACGCATTTCCCAGATCCTGACTCAATGGTTTGTCTTTTGTTCGATTGAATTCCTCAACACTATCTACATTGCTGGTAATCATTTTGAGGGCCTACTGCGCACCGTTTCTTTATGGACCCCACCACTTCGTCCATCAATCCCGGTGCTTCCATAGAAGCCAGGTCTATTGAACGCCAGTTTCATGTTGTCAAAAAGAGAAACAGAGTCCCGCTAAGCTGTTATCCGTGCCGAACCCGAAAGTTAGTCAATCCCGAATTCACCTAGCACGAAAATATAGTTCTAACAACCTGCTATAGATGGTAAAAACATACGTGTAATGGTATTTTGTTCGTTTGAACTGACTTTACCAGGAAATGTGATCGTAATCACCCTTGTAGAAACTGTGTGAGGCGTGAAGGTGCTGATGTCAGTTCATGCATCTACGCGACTCCTCCTAGCACACAGAACCAAAGTCCGGGCACTCCGAGACCCGATGATATGCAAGATCGAATCGGTCGCCTGGAAAATCTAATCCTTGCTTTAATGCGTGGGACTGGCAATGCCGAGGTCTCAGGTGTAACAACTGCCACCACTGTGGCTCGAACTGAACCGATCGGGAGCACACCACACTCTGAATTACTCGGCCAGGACAAGGAAGCGATGCCACATGCTCATGATGTGGATTCTAATACTGACAGCAGCTTGACCAGCTCACTGGGCTACCTCGATATCAACCTTGACAAGGGAAGGTCAAAGTATATCGGCCAGGAACACTGGCATACGGTGTTGTCGGAAATTTCAGAGGTCAAGGCCTACTTCGCCAACCACAAGGAGATCGATAACAGCCGCGAAAGGGTCAGTATGTCTACACCGACAAGTGCCAGAGAAGGACTCACGTTACTTCTCGGTGTCGTGCCTCCCGCTACCGATGTCGAACTACGAGCTGAGTTGCCTCCAATGTCGACTGTCCTCACCTTATGCTCGCGATACTTCAATTCACCGGATAATCTTGTCGTCATTGTCCACCCCCCGACATTTCACCAGCAACTGCAACGTCACTGGGAAGATCCGTCCAAAACACCTATCATGTGGTTAGGCTTGCTTTACTCAATCCTGTGTCTAGGGATGCTGAGTTATCACAAGCTCGGGGATGAACCTAGCCAATGGGAAGGACAAACTTTAAGGATGGCGGGCGAGTACCGGTTACGGATCGTGCAGTGTTTGATCACAGGTGATTATACGAAGCCGGTTGAGAACACAGTAGAGACAATGCTACTCTATGTCTTTGGGGAGTATTCGTGGCGATTTGATGTCGATTTGGGGCTCTGGTTGATCGTCTCATTGACCACCAAGATCGCCTTTCACATGGGCTATCATCGTGATGCTAAGTGGTTCACATCATTGACACCTTTCCAGGGCGTAGGTGCTATAGATGCGCTCTTGTAAAGCCACAGGCTGACACCATGTAATAGGAAATGAGACGACGGACGTGGGCTTTGCTGAGAATGGCCGATGTGATGTTTGCTCATCAGGTTTCATTACCTCACACAATTTACAGTCACCACTGCGATACACAGGCGCCCACCAATCTTCTCGATGAAGACTTTGGTCCGGAAAGTCCGACTCTGCCTCCGTCTCGCCCAAACAATGAACTTACTCCGATTGCATACTCGATTGCAAAGGTGAAATTATGCCAAGAAATGAGCGACATCCTGGAGACAATAAACCGCGTTGGTGGTCAGATTCAGTACGAAGAAATCCTGCGCTTTGATACCCGACTTCGTGGGATCTTCCAGACGTTTCCCCCGCACCTGAAGGTAGTGCCACTGGAAGGCTGCCGCGATTCAATTACGGTGGTTATGATGAGGTTCAGCATTAACGCGCTTTACCTCAAGATCATTTGCCTATTGCATAAGAAATACGTGCCTCGCGCACGGGAAAACCCACAATACGCGTATTCGCGCCGAAGCGCTGTCACGGCTGCATCAGATACGCTACGAAACCTAATAAATCTGCATCAGAAATCAAATGATACTGATGGTCCTCGATCCCTTGAATGGTTTGTAAATTCAATGGCCACGAAAGAATTTCTAGTATGCGCCATGCTTGTGGCGCTAGACCTCCATTATGATTGCATGGCGGAGGTTAGCAACGATGAAAAGGTACGGGAAACTGCGCTTTTTTGGACATCTGAACAAAGGATGGAGATGTTGAGCAACCTCGAAATGACCAAAGATCTCTGGAAAGGACTGGCCGACAGTTCAATTGAAGCACTCCAGGCATCAAAAGTGCTTGAGATCATGCTGGAAAAGATCAAGAGTCCTGCATCCACACCGGAAACTGCGGAGGAGACCAGAAGCGCGGAGAATAGTCATTTATCGGGCGTCAACACTTGTCCAACCGAACCACCGGATCATTCGAGTGCAATGATGCAAAGTCCACTGCCAATGGGCATGATGGCAAGTACAGAAGCAAACCACGCGGCGCAGACTTCAGGCGCTCTGGACAACATGTACTTCAGCAGCAATTTGCCCGGCTCAAACATGATACCAAATCTTACTGAGGCCCACGAGGACCTCAACATGATGGGGTCTTCGCTTCAAATGTTTCCAAATCTCATGGCTGATGAATTTGCCGAGAACTTTGATTGGGTGAGTACAAATTTATTTCAATGGATGCGACGTAAATTGGTTTTCTAACTGCATTCTAGAACACCTTTGAAAACTACGCACACGCAAACTGGGGCGGTAGCAACACATTCTAGACATTTCCCGAGTCATGAAATATAGGCAGAGCAGAACAGGAGACTAACAAAAAGAAAAGGAGGAAAGATGTGAATGTTGAAAGCATGATTAAAGACTCAAATCTTTCAAATTTGAATACTCTCGCCCATAAAAGTAGGGGTTAATCCGCTAAAGTCCTAGCGCCGGAGATAATACGAATTGAAAGCTTCATCTTCCTCTGATGGAACAAGAGATATTTGCAGCCATTCCAATTTTATTCCAATTCCATTAGATCGGAGATACTGTTAAAATCCGCAATGCAAGATCATTGAAGAGATGGCCCACCCTTGAGAATTCTCCCATAAATACGTAGAAAAGTACACAATAAAAGTTGAAAACTTCAATATCGACTCTCCTGGAGTTTCCAATCATATTTTCTATTTTCTTTGCAAAAGGAACCTATCATGTCTGCCATCTCCATTCAAAAGGGGCCCATCCAGCTAGCTGGCCTTCTATTCACGCCCACCACCTCCAGCGAAAAGACCCCTGCTCTCATTATCGTTCACCCTGGTGGTGGAGTCAAGGAGCAAACAGCCCAAGTATATGCGAAAAAACTTGCTACGCATGGGTTCACAGTAGTCTGCTACGATGCTTCCTACCAAGGCGAAAGCGGCGGCGAACCCCGTTTCCTGGAGGACCCGAACGAACGTGTGGCCGATGTCTACGCAGTGATCGACTACCTCCAGAAAGACGAAAGCGTCGATGCGGAAAGGATTGGAGTGGTGGGAATATGTGCGGGTGGAGGGTACGCCGTCGCGGCGACCAAGGCCGATCATCGGCTGAAGGCGGTCGCCGCAATTAGCATGGTGAACATCGGTGATTCGGCCCGACTGGGCTGGTACGGTGATGAGGACTCGGGAAAGAATACCAAGTTGTTGGAGCAAGCTGCTGCGCAGATCACGGCAGAGGCACGGGGAGCGGAGCGTGCGACGGGGCCGTATGTCCCTCCTCAATTAGACGACAAAACACCCTATGATCTGAAGGAGGCGCACGATTATTATCTTGGACCAAGAGCCCAGCACCCCCGTGCAAAGAACACCATGTTGTTCTTGAGTTTCCCTAGGGTGATTACATTCGACGCTTTCCATCTCGCCGAGTCATTCCTCACACAGCCTGCTTTGCTCATTGCTGGTGAGAAAGCCGGATCCCTATGGCATACGGAGAAGCTCCACAAGATACTCGACGGAAAGTCAAAGAAGGTCATTCTCTCAAACGCTACGCATATGGATCTTTATGACAAGGAGGAGTTTGTTGAACCTGCGGTGAAAAATGTGGCTGAGTTCATGCAAGCGAACTTGTAATCAATTCTTGTATCTAGACTTTTACATTGAGCACAAAATCCCGAACCTAAACCGATATTGTTCATAAATCTTTCGGTATTCTTTTCATATACATGCAGATCGTGTAATTTGGGAGCCTGAATATCTATAATGATCCAACCGAAAGCTTGTTATCGAATACCATACTATACTATTTGTTTACGATATCTCAGAAGCTAGGGAGTTGATACCAGCGCAAAGATACTGGAAGTACTACTTACTAGGTTCTGTTTATGAAAGAGGATTTACGGATTGATACCCGTGGACAGTAGGTTGCTTATGCGCGTGAGATGAATTGTAATACTGATGCTATCTCACATTTACCAAGCGATAGAACACATGCTAGGTAATCCCTAGATTGCTCCCTAGAATATGTATATTTCCATGCATTGGTCTTTCCACTTAAGGGTAAAAAAAATACCCTTATACTTGCCGGAAGAAGTCGGCAATTTGCTTAACAGAAGGATCGACGTACGCGGGGCGGTCATAGAAGTCCATATGACGACCACCTGGGATCACGTACTGACTTACTCCAGTGTTTTTGCCCTTCAACTTGTTGTAAAGTCTCTCTGAATGCCACTTGCTCTCTGCCAAGTCGCCATAGACGACAAGAGTTGGCTGAGTAAGGTATATGTCTGTAAAATCCCACGCATCAAAGTTGAGCAAGAGTGATTGAGATCGTGCAAGCATTTTATTCTGAGCGTTGGGGTGCTGAGCTCGCGGAGTGAGGTAGTAGTCGGCAGCATCTCTGAGGTCATATGGTGTATTCTCGTTGGGATTTGGGGGGACATAGTTGAAATATTCAGGTTTGGTCCCATTGGCTTCGGCTTGAATGGGACCAGTAATGTCTTGAAGAACCATAATTTTGCCAGCCTTATCCTCAGTCCCAAGCCAGCCTTCGCGATTGGCGTCGCCAATGTTCACTCCACTAACTGTTGCAACGGCCTTCAGGCGGTGGTCGCCCTTGGCTGCGGCTGCTGCATATCCTCCCCCGGCGCAAATTCCAAGCACGGCGATACGATCAGGGTCAACATAATCGAGCGTCTCGAGATAGTCGACCACGGCGGAGGCGTCTGTGACCCTAGAGTTGGGATTCTCCAAAAAGTGTGGGAGGCCTCCAGAGTCACCTTGATGAGCAGCATCGTATGCGATAGTGACGTAGCCTTCCAGGGAGAGCTTTTCAGCATAGACACTAGCAGCCTGCTCTTTCACTCCCCCGCCAGGGTGAATGATCACAAGGCCTGGCAGAGTGCCAGTAATGTTTTGTGGTTGAAATAGAAGACCAGCTAGGGTGATGGATCCTTTCAAGATCGAAATGGGTAACATGGTGGTGGATTTCGTTGTTCAATGGTATGGAATGGTGATGATTGCAATAGGAGACAATGAGGACACAGGAAATGCTACTTATATATCATAAGTCTATTATTGTTTGACTATTATGAAGACCTACTTTACAGATTCAGAACTTGGCAGAGACGCAAGTACACGCGGAGTTAATGATTCTTGGCTGCGAAGGCCAAGGCTGGGCGGAATTCCTCCCAATGTACTTCCTATGGAGTATAGAACGGGAGATAAGATAGGCCCAAAGATAGGATATTAGATAGGACATCCATGGATTTAATATCCGTGTGGGTCAACTCCACTTATGCGACAATTTGATTGGACAAGGCCCATGGTGTTTATTCTCTCTCAGAAACACGCATATAGTTCCAGGCTTTGTACTCTTAGTCGGTCAGTCATCTTCAAGCTGCTTACACAGTAGCCTACCGCTGACAGTTGCAATGACCAAATCCACTTCGTCGAAAACTGTGCAGTCTATTTCCGTTTCCGGTGATAAGCTGCAACCTTCTGAAACTTGGGTTGGACTGACAGACCCAGATGAAAGGCGTCGGCGACAAAATCGGATCAACCAAAGAGCATACCGTAAGCCCTAATAGCTTCCTAGCTTACTGGGTTTAGTATGAACTAATTTCCCCCAGGTATGCGAAAGCGACTCGGAGTAAAAAAGGATAGCTCCAGCACCTCGGTGAAATTCACTAGTTCGACCTCCTCTATCCCACCACAGGATACAGCCTCGCTACAAAGCGACCCACCAAAACCCACTCTATGCCGCAGCTCGAAATTTTTAGATCATCTTCTTGAGCAACTCGCACAATCAGCGTATCGAAGCTACGTCCAGGGAGATCCGAGGACCACCCACTTCCTGACATTGGCTAGGGTTAACATCTTCCGGGCATTCATGCATAACATGAAACTAATAGGCTGGTCGCCGAATTGGATAGACAGAAGCACCGTCTCCAATTTTAGTATCATTTTACCGCAAGATAATGCCACACTGGACGATTGCAGCCACATTCCGTTCAACCTTCGACCAACTCGAGTTCAAAGAACGATGCCCCACCACCCTTGGCTAGATTTCTTTCCCCTACCCAAGATGCGCGACAATCTCATCGAAGCTGGCAAAACTTGGAATGAAGACGAACTCTGGAATGATATCATGGGATTTTGGGACGTTTCGAATCTTGACGCTGGACTACTGGTGTGGGGAGAGCCCTGGGATGTGCGAAACTGGGAGGTGACAGAGCCTTTCTTGAAGAAATGGCAATGGGTTCTTCGGAATTGTCCTGAACTGATGCAGTCGACGAATTATTGGCGTACGAGACGGGGGGAGCAGCTGATATTCCGTTATATTTGAAAATTATGACAAGACGCCCTTTTTATACGGATGAGAAGCCATGCTGCGTCTGAGTCCAGATTCATTCCTAAAAAGAAAATGGGAATAAGTGTCCAGACAAAGGTTATAGATAGTGTAAACAAGTTAAGACCAATAACTATATAAATTATGAATTTCCTTAGTACACCACTACTATTATCCAGGCAGATACTGGAAAAGCCAATGTAAGGTGGCTAAGTTCGTAATACACCCCCTCAGGGTCGGAAGGTTGGACCCTCGAACCGCCCCAGTGGCGGGACGGTTCGAGGGTTATGAGGGTCACCCGCGGGTCACTGCCAGGTCTACCTATAAGGGACAATTGCTCTTTAACTCTTCTTTCCTTCTCCTTTCCCTCTCTGTACTTATTGAAATACACTCTTTGATTGAAGAACTGGCTGGTCACACTATATACGAAATTATAGGACTAGTTATATAATCTTAGTATTAAGATAGATTATAATAAGATCATTTCAAACCTATAGGCTACCTGCTATATAATTAACTAGTAGTTCTAATATATTAGGATTAAGGATAATAATAATAATAATAAACTAGTAGGTCTTATAGTAATAGATCTAGGTATAGAAGATAATAGGTATTAGCTAATAACGAAAGTAAAGCTATAGAATAAGATACTAAGCTAGGGATAATAACTATACTAATAAACTAACTACCAAGAATACTACCACCAATTGAAACTAAGGCAGGGGGATACAGAGTAAGAAGTAAGAGTGAGAAGTGGGAAGTAGGAGTTAGAAGGTAGAAGGTATACTCCACAGCAATTATTAAATAATTTCATATACATAGGATTGGGTATGGGTTTGGATTTACAGTATTTACAGGTTATAGGAATGGGCTGATTCCACACTCTTTTTGATCACTATCTGTACTCCTCTAGGATTCGGCTTTAGGACTCGAGTTCTTGCTTCAGTTGGAAGAAGCGCCTACATAGTCATACACAACTAGTTAGACTGCAACAGGTTAATTGAACTTTGATTGATTGATTGACTTGCATGTGAGGCCGGCAGGTGATAGGGTGTTTCTACTTTTTCATACGCCAAATGCCTCCAAAATCATTTACTCCCGTCTTTTAGAATGATATGTTGTCGTCGTTAGATATGACTAATTGATTTGATGCTCAAACTTTATACATGGAAAAATCTTTTGCACAAAGAATGCTGTTTTTTCCCTTCGCATACATCTAAAAGGACATCCCCAGGCCGCAAGCGCGGGTGATTCTTCTTAGATATCTGATTTGAAAAATGAGCTCCTCTTTTTCCAGTTCTGAGCATCTAGGCAGTGTGAAAACTTCCTATGGTAGCCCAGTATACGTTATAATTATATCCCTGGGCATCATAGAATGCACTCAGTGTGACATTTTTGCCGTCGGCGATGGAGGTGAAGTCAAGGGTAGAAGCCCCGGAGCGTTTGATAGAGTCAAGGGCGAGAGTAGGAGTACTACTTAGTGTTTGGCTGCCGTAATTGCCACACAAGACAGTCGGCCCATACGCAATTGCAACCATACTTGAATTGTCATTTGCAGCCACCGTACGCAAACTCATGGGAAAGCGGATCTCCACAACATCTCCATCGGCCCATTTCCGGGAAATCTGAGCGTATGTTCCGGGCTTGGCTTCGATGTCAGGCAAAGCTTTCCCATTCAGCGTCAACTCTGCGCTTGATGCCCATGCAGGGATTCGGATATTCATCGTCCAGTCACCACTACCAAAGACTTCCAGTTTCGATTGATCGCCGACTGGGTAGGTCGTAGATTGTTTCAAGGTAATACCCATTTCCGGCCACTTCAGGACAGAAGACATGAACAAGTTAATAAACAAGGTCAAGTCATTGTAAAAGTAGATTGAATCCATCAACTTGGTGTTCGTTTCGAGTGCCGTTCCTTGACAGCACCAGAATGAGTCGTAGTCCGTACTCCAAGTACCGCCACCCCAGGCGGGACCAACACCGCGGCGACCCCCAGCATTGAGCGGCGTGAAGTAAGTGATGTGGCCATGGCTATCTTGAGGGTTCTGTTGACCCAGCAGGTGGTTGAGTAAGGCGGTTTCGTAGAAATCAAAATATGCCGAGTTCTCGGAATCAAGAAGCCACAGCTCGCGGGTAAGCTTGAGCATGTTATACGAATTGCATGCTTCACATGTGTCATTGTCAAGATAAGCGGCGATGGCGTTTGGGGCATGGAAGTGTTCGGCTTGGCTGTTACCGCCGATGGCGTAGGTGTGTGATTTGACATTGATTTCCCACGCGTTGCGGGCAATATCGAGGTAGCGAGATTGTCCAGTGGCTTTGTATTGGCGAGCCGCCCCAATCCATTTTGGTACTTGAGTGTTTGCATGTAGCCCGTCGAACTCATCTTTATTGGCCGCAAGGGGGTCGAATATAATGGCATGATCAAAGCGTTGGGCAACGGTAAGCCATCTCTTGTTACCAGTTTGATGGTAGAGGTCGGCCAGTACCTCGTTCATACCTCCAAATTCCGTTTGTAACAACTTCTGCATTGCATCGTAGCTGAATGCTTCGGTACGTTTGTCGACCCAGCTGGCTAAGGACAGTAAGACGTCTCTAGAGGTAGCGTCATTTGTTAAGCGCCAGACATCGAGAAGGCCTGCAAGAGTTTTGTGCACAGCGTAATACGGAACATTGCCATTTGTCAGGGTGTTATTCTCGAGTTTTTCGAACTCTGATTCTGGAAACCCAGATATATATCCATCCGTGAAACCAGCAGCCTTGTTGTTGGCCTGGCATTTTGCTAGCTCAGCAGCAAAGTAGATCGCTCGATCATAACATGTTTGGTCGCGGAGTACAGCATAGCATTGAGCCCAGGCAGTGAGGAAATGGCCCTGGACATGAGAACGGAATGGGAAATCCGGAGCATCCCAGCCACCATTCGGTGTAGCCTGCTGTGTAGATAGTCCATGTGTGATCCGGAAGACATAAAGTAGTCTGTCGACATCTATCTCTTTCAAATATTTGAGGGTACGGCCTTGGTTTTCCAAGAAGCGGTCTTGGGTCAATTCAACTCCGCCAAGATCGAATGCAGAAGCCTGGGCTCCAACATCCTTAATATTTGAGTCGGAAAGTCCATTGACGAAAGAGGAAAGAGAAATAAAAAAGGAAAGGAATATAGCGAGGGCCTTCTGCCATTCCTTGGAGTGTATCATCTTGAATTCCTCCGGACAGAAAAGTCTCGCGGAAAGACTAGTTGATTTAGCTATTCTTCAGGCGTTGTCTGAAACATGGGTGTAATGGCCTGGGAATGAATCCCTTATAAGATGGGATTTTTCCGGTGGGATAAGACATAAATTGAATGTTGTATATACAATGCCAAGGACCTCCACAGTACTCTGCATACACCACGGAGGAATTCATGCAGGAATAATCCCTGCAGAAAAGTACTGCCGGGCTGATTGGCCCCATAGTTAGTCTTCTGAGATAGGAAACATGCCGGAGGGTCTTTAGATCAATTCACTTAAGAGCGGAGAATATCAAAGGTCGATTAAATTTTCTGAATGATCTTCACTATCAGAAGAACAGTCGGCCGCGTTTGTGGCATTGTGTTGTCTTTTTAGTTAGTCTTTTTGAATGCCTTTTTTTC